CCAGGAAAGCAGGGAGACGGGCTTGGAAAAGGCAACAACAGGGCAACCTCGTGACTACAATGTTAGAGTTCTTCATCCAAGGAAACTGGCTATGACATTTCTTCTGGAGAGGAACAGAGAGAAAGAATTATAAAGTGGGACTCCAGAGAATGGGTGTTGGATGGAAGCTGGCATCAACAGCCACAAAGAGCTTGTTCTAAGTACACATCCCTGGGCCCCAGAGCAGGCTTGGAGAGCTCAGCCATCTGATTTGTTGTTGCTAAATTGAGAGTTTCTGAAACACAGCAGCCTAGTATACAAACAACAGACACGCTGAAAACAAAATTAAACAAAAAGTACCCAAGAGTCAAGGCCGAGTTACTTACAGTGATCCGTCTACCCGGTGGATGAAGAGGTCTGGTATATAATACAGAAGGTCTAGTCTTACAATGGACATGATTCTGCCCTAACCAAGAGTGGACAGGCATAATCAACATGGCGTTGATGAACGAAGAGAGCCACCTATTCTGTGATTCCATTCAACTCTATAGAGAAGAGACGCACGATCAATGCCTCCTATGGCCGGGACGATGTTTGCATTACACTGACAGCTGAAGGGCACTGGGTATCTTTCATGGGAGTGGCACAGTGGCATTACAAGCTAAGCCGCCACTTGAGTAATGCTGGCATCCCATTTAGGCAACACTTTGACTCCCAGCTGCTCCACTTACAAAAAAAAAGATTTATTTTTATTTGAAAGGCAGTGCTTACAGAAAGAAGGAGGGACAGACAGAAAGAGATGTTCCACCCAATGGGTCACTACCCAAATGGCCACAGTAGTTGGAGCTGAACTGATTCAGAGCCAGGAGCTTCTTCTGGATCTCGCACATGGGTGCAGGAGCCCAAGGACTTGGGTCATCCTCATTGCTTTCTGAGGCCAGAACCAGGGAGCTGGATGAGAAATGGAATAACCAGACTCGACCAGCATCCACATGGGATACCCCTGCCCCAAGTGAAAAGTTAGACCCAAGCTAGCCCTGAGGCCCAACTGCTCCACTTTTGACCCAACTCCCTGCTAACATCCTAGGAAAGCAGTAGAAGGTGCCCAAGGCCTTGGAGCCCTGCACCCACATGGGAGACCCAGAAGAAGCTCATGGCTCCTGGCTTCAAGCCTGGCTCAGTCCCACACTGTAGACATTTGGGAAGTGAACCAGTGGAGCTCTCTCTATGTGTTTCCTTCTCTCTCTGTCTCCCTCTCTGTAACTCTGCCTTTCCAACAGAAGTAAATGTTTTTAAGAACTATGTAACTGAAAGTTAAGAAAAACAATGGGGCCCAGTGGCGTGGCCTGGCGGCTGACAAAAATAACAGTAGAAGGAAGATACAGCAGAAAACTAAAGAAATATTCCAGAAATCAGAAACAGAAAAGAATATGGAAAATGGCAGAGAAAAGACAGGAAAATTAGGAAATCATTCCAGAAGGTCCCACATTCAAGTAATAAAAACTGCAAAGAGATGGGACAACCTACAAAGAAAAGTGAATGCCCACAGCCGTGGCCCCAACACCCGCCTCCTACAACTAAAGAAGGTGGCTCCCCAGGTCAACAAGCCCACAAAACCCAGCACAAACAACGAGGCCAAGGCCTACAACCCCAAAATCGGTCAGGCCCTAGAGTCCCCCAGAGCTGGGAGAAGTAAACAGGAACATGCAGAAAGCCTCTGGTGACAGACGGCCATCCACATCTCCGCAGCAACTTGGGCAGCCAGAAAGGCGAGGACAGCGGCACCTGCCCCACTGGCAGAGCAATGCAACATCCCACGGGGACGCTAGGAGAGCACAGACAACTGTTTTATAATGACCCTTGTGGGATCCTTGTGGGACTGGTGGACCCTCCCGATAGTATACCTGCATTAATTTGGCACAAAGTAAATCTTGAATTGTGTCAATCATCCTCGGAGAAATGAAATCCTACACTGACAGGCAGACAGGAGCCGTGGTTTGAAGAAATGTGCGATGCAACACAAGAGTGACACAGCACATTTTTCAGCAATCTGGCAAAGCAGGTTAAACAGCTGCTGTGATGCTGGCAGCCAGTATTTGAATGGCAGTTGAATACAGCTATTCAGCTTTTAAACCAACTCCTTGCTAATGCATCTGGGAAAGAAACAGTGACGGCCCAGGTGCACGAGTCCCTGCCACCCACATGAAATACCCTGTTTTCTTCAGAAAATCAGTCAACCCCAGGCAGGTCATCCCTGTAATGAAAATTGGACTGTCAGAAAAGCTTAGAGAAATAAAATCTGCTCTCCAAGATGGAACATTCCCTTACGCTAGAAAACCCTTTAGTGGGCTTCGGTTACAAAAACTAGAGCTGGTTTAGGGTCACCAAGTCCATCGATGCAGGGTCTGGAAGGAGGGGGCTGAGCAGCCATGAGAACTGGAGAAATGTCAGTAAGAGAGATGGGAGAACCGTCTAGAAGGCGGAAGGAGAGAGGAGGCAAGGGAGCATGGGCTCCCCATGCCAGGAAAGGGACAGGGCACCCGTAGTACAACACCTGCTGCATTCTCTCCCTGTGCCTGGAGAACTCCCAGCACACGTGGCTGTGCGGGTCTCTGCCGTTCGCCTCGCGGTCTCAGTCCACTGTCCCCGGACACCTCCTTCGCCACGGTCACCCAGGCCCTCCATGCTGTCCAAGGCCATGGTCTCCTTCAGCACTACTCAACACGACCAACCTCGTTTTGTTGGGTGGGAAATGACGCCATATACCCCTGGTCCCACACATCTTCCTCCACCCAGCTACAAACGTGCAGCTCGCCCCCCACACCTAGCCTGGCCTCCTTCCTTAGTTCCCTCTGCTTCTGCAGCCTCGATCCCATGCTGTGGCTTCCACATGTGCACATGAACCTGCAATAGTGCGCTACCCCACCACCTCACGTGTCTCACTGGAGCTTAATATCCCCAGTCACACCGGCCCCCCTCAGCACTGGACGGTCCATTCTCCCTACACGTAGCCTCTGGGTGTGTCTTAGCAATCCTCCCCCCATGTAGGCTCTCAAGCTGTGCCTCCACTCCTGTCCCTGCTCACTCCAGCTGTGTGGGCTGCGTGGGAGTCCTAAGAATCCACCCAGTTCCCTCCTGCCTTGGTCTCCTCCTGTTTGCTCTTCCCTCTGCCCCATCCTTTCCTGTCCACTTCTCCTTCATCTCCGGCCAGGCAGGTGGCCGAGGGTCCCTAACAGGACATGAGCCTTCACACTAAGGCACCATCTCTCCAACACAATCCCTAACCTAACGTGACTCCATTAACAAAATCCTATGCCAAATATTAGGTATTAAATCACACATAATTGTCTTCTTAATAACTGTTAATAAGATTGTGCATCACATTACAAGTAAGTCGACCATGGCAAAAAGGTAATTTTCAATAAAAGGTAAGGCTTTTCTCTCATTAGCCAAATGCAAACTCTACAAACTGAAGGAATTAGCCCAAGAAATCTTTAATGGCTCAAAGTGCTGGCCTGTGACAGACAGCATCTCCGTAATCCTCAGCCAACAGCATCTGTAAAATGTAAAATTCAAGTTCTTTCTCCCGTAAATCTCTCTTGAAATGAAACTGAGGGCATTCAAAATAATTAAACAACAAGTAAAGCAGAGGCTGGCATTGTGGCACAGTGAGTTAAGCTCTCACCTGTGATGCCAGCATCCCTTATGGGTACCACTTCAAGTTCAGGCTGTTCCACTGCTCCTCCAACCTGTGTTAACGTCCCTGGGAAAGCAGCAAAGATGGCATGCACACTTCCTGGGCCCCCTGCACCCAGGTGGGAAGCCGGGTTGAAGCTCCTGGCTACTGGCTTCAGCCTGGCCCTGCCCTGCTCATTGCAACATTTCAGTGGGGAATCAATGAATGGAAGATGTGTCTCCATCTCTTTATCTAACATTCAAATAAGTAAATGAAACTTTTTCAGCAATGAATGAATTAAACAATGTGCATCTGGCCTTGTCTGAGTCTGGTGACGTGTATGCGAGCCGTCGTGGAGCAGAGCAGGTGATCCATGTCCAAGTTCATGTCTAACACTGGCTCTGTGAGCACTGTCCCCGTTTAGCTACCAGCAGTCAGCCGACAGAGAACTCTGTAAGGACTCCGTCCTGTGCTCGAGTTGACATGCGTTCTCCTTTGTCGTCAGACTCAAGAGCCAAGTTCAACTGATTTTCAATAAGTTAATTAACATAAGGGCATACCATTACACATGAAAAGAATTAACACAAGCCATAAGACAAGTTAATTCATAACAATCTCACAGACACAACTGGGAGCTTATATGTTTATAACTTTAATTGATGCATTTAAGATTGTTGAAGGCAGTGCTATCTCTTATGTATTATAAAATTTACCAGAACAAGGTGAAAACACAGCAAAATTATATTTTTAAAAAAACTAGTTTGGGGATATTTTTGGTTAAAAAAAAAAGGCATTATCTCTAAACATAAGAACTTTCTCAGAATAATAACAATTAAAAAAAAACCTTCCTTGTACTCCCTTCAGCACCTTCATACTCAGATCGGGCCCATCCGTGTTGGCCTCATTCGGGCAGAAGACGCAATGTGCAGCATTTCATTTTTTTAAAATCACATGTATCCTTTGTGTTTTGGAGTTTTGTTTAAGAGTCAGAACTTGCAGTCACTGGTTCACTCCCCAAGTTCCTGCCAAGGCCATAATGGGGCCAAGTGAAACCAGCACTGCAGAACCCTGTGTGGGTCTCCATGCAGGTCTCCCATGCAGATGGCAGGAACCCAATTACTGAAGCCCCCCAGAGTATGCATTTGTAGGGAGCTGGGGCTGGCAGGTAGGCAGGACTCCGAGCGAGGCACTCCGAAGTGGGATGCGGGTGACTGCAGCGGTGTCTGAACCACTAGACCACGCACCCACACATTGCTAACTGGCCTTTACCAAGCAATCCTGCATCCTGCGTGCATTTTGGTTTATGATCACCTGTGCACGGCCACGGTGAGATGTGCCAGCTTACCTTTGAGCCTGGAGGGGGAGCCAAACCCAGGAAGGAGTAGATAATATTCTCTTCTTTTGCAGAGAAGAAAGAATCAAAATCCTTGAAGCAGAGAAAAAGAGCATTTACAACCACAGCACACTGAGCCCATAGAGCCAGCCAAGTTCATCTTATTTAATTAATTAGTCATTAACTTAGGAGCTAACACAAAAGGTTATCCCAAGATGCTCTGTCAAATGGAATCGATCTCAAAAGTTCAGAAGTCTGTGAACCTCCCATTTAGTTTTACATACTTTCATTGTGCTTATATAACATAGTGAGATTACACACACACACACACCTGCTGTCTGCTCAGGAATTGCTGCAAAGACCCAGCATGCCCATCCACTGGTTTCTCCAGAAGTTTCACATCTGGAGTTGGCTTATGTACAATATGGCTCCTACAGATGTGGGCCTAGATGCCAAGTTGGAGACTATATGGGACCTCCCTAGATTTGCTACGGTAGCTGCTGAGGACTTGCACCTGTGTCCAGCCACTAGCCCATGTGGGACATGGAGGATGAAGATGGGGGAAGTGAGAGAAAAGCCTGCAGAGTGACAGGAGGTCTGGCACACACCGGCGCTTACTGGAGTTCTGTCCCCACCCAGCTGAGGCCAACAAAGGTGTCCAGTCCTAACTGGTCAACAGCTCCAAAGGCCCAACCTGTTCCTAATTAGAACATAAAAATCCGTCATCCTGATGACTCAGTTACTGCCAGTCTTTGTCCTTGGGGCCACAACACAATTGCAAGCGCATTTCCAAAGGGCCCATGCAGCAGCCAGCCTCTGACACAGCAGGTTAAGACACCAGCATTCCTCATCCGAGTGCAGATTCAAGTCCCTCCCTCTTGGCTTCTAACCCGGCTCCCTGCTAACGGGCCTGGGAGGCCAGCAGGTGATGGTCCAGGTGCTTGGGGCCCTGCACCCATGTGGGAGACCTGGGTGAGTTGCAGGCTTGGGGCTCCAAGCTGGCATGGCTGCTTGCCATGGCAACCACTTGAGAAGTGAAGCAGCAGATGGAAGTTCTCCTGTCTTTCCCTCTCTTTCTGTCACTCTGTCACCCATTTACATAAATAAATAAATCTTTTTTAAAAATCACTTCTCTTTGATTCCCAGAGCACACATTTACTTGGTCTTGTTAAAACACACACTTAACTCAGCAGTGAAGTCATCGGTTAAGACATGCAGCCCCACATTGTACCACTTGGATTTCCTTCCCAACTCTGGCTCCCGGCTCCCGGCTCCTGGCCCCTAGCCCCTAGCCCCTGGCTCCTGGCCCCTGGCTCCTGGCTCCTGGCTCCTGGCTCCGGCTCCTGGCTCCTGGCTCCTGGCTCCTGGCTCCTGCACTCGCAGACACTAAGGAGCAGTGGTGAGAGCTCATGCGGTCAGGTTCCAGCTGCCCACATGGGAGCCTGGTGTGAGCTCCTGGCTGCTGGCTTGGCCCCACCCTACTGTGGATACCCCAGGCATTTAGGGAGCGAGCCAACAGCTGAGACATCACTTGACGGTCCTCTATTTGTCTGCCTCCCAAATACCTTCTTTTAAATATTTTAAAAGATATCCTTTTGTTTACCTGAAAGGCAGTGTTACAGAGAGAGAGATCTTCCATCCCTGGTCCATGCTCCACATGGCTGCTGTGGCCAGGACTGTGCCAGGTCAAAGCTAAGAACTTCTGAGCTTGCCACACAGATGCACGGGCCCAAGCACTTGGGCCATCTCCTGCTGCCCTCCCAGGCACATTAGCAGAGAGCTAGATCAGAAACAGAGCAGCCAGGACACAAACTGGCACCTAAATGGGATGCCTGCACTGCAGATGGTAACCCAACTCACTGTGCTACAATACGGGCCCCAAAAAACTGTTTTTAAAAATGACAAGAGCTCATGCAGGAGGGAGTTAAGAATGTGCACGACTTCCCAGTCCTCTCCCTCCTCCCAACTCCGAAAAGGAGAACTACTGTGCCCCACGACCCAAGGCTGTCTTCCTAGCCCACAGGTGAGCCCCGAGAGGCCCTGAGAGGTCTGATGAGCCTCAAGTCAAGGTTGCTGTGATCCCAGCAGGCGCTAGGGTGGCAGTCCACGTGTTCAGGGACTTTCTCATCAGTTTGCGTGCAACAGTAACAACGATCACAAAACTCCGCTCTGAGAACACTAGCAAGAAAGGACTCAAAAGGGAAGTGCAGGGTACTCCAGCGCTGAGACGGGGAAGAGGGGAGGCACTGAACCCGCGGGCCCACACGGTACACAGCCCCATGGGACGAGGGACAAATCCTTGGGCTGGGCCTGGCATGCCGGGCAAGTATCCAAGGCTGGGCAGCTGTCTACAGCAAAAGCCAGGGCTGTGGGAGCCCTGGTGTTCCCAGGAGGAGCAGGACGGAGGGCATGCCAGTGTCAGACTGGCAGCAGGGTCTGCAGCTAGGGCTGCAGACTGGCTCTGTGCGTGAGATGGGGGTGGAGCAAGCTAGGATCTCACACACGCTCACAAGCACACACGCACACACCCCACTGCTGTCGCCACCTGCTAGGAGGAAGGGAGAACCGTGAGCCTTCCTTATACCACGTCTCGCCAGCTCCCTCCACTGGCAAACCTTGGCACTGCACGCACTGCACAGGCCTTTGGGGTTTGGCTCTCAGAAGCAATAAAGAGACGACAGGACAGAAGCAAAAGGAGATTGGCCACACCTGATTTCACAATGTCAGCCTCCCCACCATGATGCCAGAATTAGAAACAGCCTTTCTCTGTCTCATGCACATGGATCCTAAATAGCAATCCTAAATAAAACACGAGCAGGCCTAATCCAGCAATACAGAAAAATGCAATACACTAAAACCACACTGGATTTCTACACAAAACAAAATGGCTATTAGCCAAAAAAGAAACAAAGATTGTGTAATGCACTGAAGCAAAAACTTGATCTTGATCCATCTTGATCTGTATGGGCAGGGGGACTCTTACTAACATGATTTTTTAAACGTTTTACCAAATGAGAAAGCTATCCTAATAAACAGAAAGTACATCACACCCAATGGGAATATACTCTTTAAAAATGGAAAGCAAAAATAGCTATTCTTACCATATCTAATCAATACCACTCTGAAAGCTCTAGCTAGTGCATTAGCCAAGCAAAGAAAGCAGACATAACCCTGCAACGTGGGGCAGCAGGTGAAGGTACTACAATGCTGGCATCCCAGATCAGAATCCTCCAGCAAGAATCCTCCAGTTCAGCTCCCTGCTAATACAGGGGGCTCTGCCACCACGTAGGGAACCCTGACGGAAATGTAGGCTCCTCACTTCTGCCTGGTTTATTCTTCAACCCGGCTACCGCAACCATTTGGGGAGTGAATCATGGATGGATGATCTTGTATCACTCTCTTTCCTCATTTCCCTCCCTCTCTCCTTCATTCCTCCTATGAGAGAGAGTGCGTGTGTGTGTGTGTGTGTGTGTCTGTTTGCCGCTTGCCTCTGTGTCATTTCACCTTTCAAAACAATAACCATTTTTAAGAGACATATTTATAAAACTGTCCTTAAGTACTCAATATATCCCAAAGTTATCTACATAAAAATTCAGTGAACAGGAGTGGTGCTGTTGCTGGATATTAATATAATGTATTATCTTTATATTAGTAATAATTAGGAAGAAAATAAATTTGAGAAGCAGGTGAGATGAGCTGTATGGGACACTTCCAAAACGACAGCAGGACACATGAAGAACATGTCAGCATTGTGGATGACCCAAGCACGATGACACAGCTTGAGAGCTCTACAAAAAATTCCCTGAAGATGCTGCTTCTTCCTGGACCAATCTAGAGTGACTCAGAACTCTCACCAAACTTTTCAGAGACCTGAACAAGATAATTAATCTAAAGATGAAAAGGCAAACTTCTGAGAAAAACCAAGAACTAGCAGAAGATGGCCAGTGTCAACATAAAGTACAACGGCAGATGTCACAGGAGCACAGAGCCAGAAGTGATGTCCGAGAAAGACCACACCTCTCCCCTCCGCGCCCCTGCCCGAGCACACGCAGAGCTGGCTGCACACAGGTGAAGGAGCAGACCACAGCTCTCCCCTCCGCACCCCTGCCCGAGCACACGCAGAGCTGACACTGCACACAGGTGGAGAGAGAATGGAGTGTGAAATGTTATGGATGAGATAACTAGCTAGCTAATTGAGGTAACATTTCTAAAAACTGCAGCAGCATTACCTCAAACCATCCAGTGAACTGCAGGTTCACAAGAGAAGACAATGAGAAGACAAGACTATCCAGACTGAAGAATCCATGGATCACAAGCGAGAGAAGAGTACAAAGAGAAGTCACGGGCTGAGAGAAGACGCCCACCATGTGTGATCCGTGAAGGGCTCATTGCCTTCTGCCACAGGCGAGGAAGCTTGGCACGCCCTGCGCAAGAACCAAAACCCAACAGAGCATCATAGGGAAAAGCCAAAACTCAACAGAATAGTACAAGGAAAAAACAAAACCCAACAGAGCATCATAGGGAAAAGCCAAAACTCAACAGGAAAAAATGTGCAAGCTAAAAACAAAACAAAAAAGCCACAGAGTACCTGACAAGTTGCAGGAAGAGCCAGTACTAAGTCAGGTGGGTACAAACACTGCGTGACTGACATCTTGCTCCCACCAGCATCCAGAATACGTCCCGATTGGATAACACTGAAGGTTGGTAGAGACACAAAACATGAGAGACCTCACCTGTTAGTAGCGGCGGTGTGCAGATCTGTACAACTACTTACAAGAAAACATTAATACTTTAAACATGTCCAGAGCTAGAGAATCAAGATGGCGGAATAGGGTAAGGACAGGTTTAAACATTTAATTAGGATGAAGCAGAGAGGACACATCCCAGGAAACAGGAGAGGACAAAACAACAGCAGAGGGGTACCTGGAGACTGACAGACACAGGAAAGCAGCGGACACAACTGTATCGTATTGCAGTGACTGATACTCCAGCGGCATTCAGCTAACGGCAATCTGAACTCCACCAGCAGCCGGAACTCCACCAGCAACCAGGTGGGAAGGGATTTTCCCTGGGAGCTTGGGAAGTGACCCAAA